TCGATAACCCCCCTGCCATTCCTGCACGCCCCCACCCACAAAAAAAAAAAAAGCTTCAGAAGCCCCCCTCGACCCTCGCTCCTCCAGAAAAGGTGAGCGACCTCCACCCTCGACCTATCCTTAAGTCACTTCCGACGGAAGCATCCTTCTTCCCAACCGTAAGCAAAAACCCCTCCCCAAGACCGTTAGTTAAGTAAGAGTCAAAGACCTCCAATCCATCCCCTCCTCCCCCTTCAGACCGTCTTTACTCACTCCCTACTAACCAATTTTTTTTCAACCCTTGTTGATTGCACAAAAGTATACATAGCTACTCTTCGCGAGTGATGTACGCGCGTTAGTAAAAAATGTAAACCCCGTTTATAAAAACTGAGATACACGTTTTCACCCAAAACTTACTTTTTGTAAACGAATGCCATCCGTTTCGATTATTTCCGGATAAAACGAACAGTTTCTACCCAATAAGTAACTCTCAAAAACACTAGATAGTCGGCGTTTATCCGTTGTTTCCACCAAACAAACATCAAAAAAAACTTGGCTAACTAGGAGAACCGTTGAAGGAGCAAGAACCAGAAAAAAAAACCAGGCGGGGGTGACAAACCAGGAAAACAGGCGACACGAGAAAAAATTGTGTAAGTGAAATGTATACAAAAAAGTAGAAAGGGGGTTTTTATTTAAACTTTTATAAAAAAAAAACCTCATATAACCATCTATGTAACAAAAAAAAAAAAAAAAGTTGAACTGTGAAAAGGGCAGATTATCGTGTTGTCCTCCCACCCCCTCCCCCTCCACCCCTCTTTGCCTCTGGTATTCCTAGTGCTGCTGGAAACCAACAGGTGAGTCACGATGCTGTCTTCCCCGAATCAGGCTAAAGTCTGTCTGCATGTTTCCTCTTTTGGCTGCATGTAACTGCATTTCCATGTAATGCCATTATCAGAGAGGACACTGGGGGACATTGTTGTGAGTCCATGGAGTGTTGGCAGGAAATACTGCCTTTTTCCACAAATTATATTAGCATTAGTCTGGGGTAAATCACCCAGTGTCACGCGTCTAACCGAATGATTGCCCATTTATAGAACTGAAATAGTTTTTTTAGACATGCCATGAAGGGTATATTGTTGAGAAGTTAATTGTAGGATTGTGTTAATTGCAGATGGATTGTCGGGGTATAAAGGCAGCAATGTAGGGAATAAAAACAAATGCAGCCACTGTACACCTCCTTGTTTAAATCACCAAGAGGTCATGCTAAATGTTTCTCTCTAAACAATCAAATAATTCAAAATCTAATAGTTCTCAATAACCAAATCATTATTCATTTGTTCCCTGTCATCATTACTCACTACATTAAGTGTGTTTGTTTGTCATTCATTCTTTTATCAGGGTTTTCCAGCACAATCACTTTTTCAAGTAATGTTTCTTTCTGCATATTTGTATAGATAAAAGACCCCAAACAGTCACTGTAAAGGATATCCATATTTACGTCAAAAATGTATCATCATCCACCTTTCTCTTCCTGGCTCATCGTGTTTTGCTTCATTGTTTGTCTTCACTTTATTTGTGTAAATGAATGTACTCCTTTTGACCATCTCCTCCTCTCCCCCTGCCAGAGGTTTGTGGAGAAGCAGACGAGCTTCGATCAACAGCTGGACACTCTGACCGACTTACTGTCCGAGATGGAGACCAGGGGACCTTTCAACCCCAAGGTAGGAAGCAAGGAAGGATCGACAATACACTGTGAAACACACACACACACACACACACACCACACCACACCACACCACACCACACCACACCACACACACACACACCACACCACACCACACACACCACACCACACACCACACACCACACCACCACACCACACCACACACCACACACCACACACACACACACCACACCACACCACACCACACACACCACACCACACCACACCACACCACACCACACACACACACACCACACCACACACACCACACCACACCACACACACACACACACACACACACACCACACACACACACACACACACCACACACACACCACACCACACCACAC